GGTGAGCGCCGTCACTGATGACGGCAGAGACTCGGCTGAGGTACCGGGGGTTGGAGGTCTGGTCCAGGGATGGGAGAGAGCAGAAGAAGAAAACAAGGTGTGACAAATTGCTGATCAGTGTGTTTGGTAGGATTGTGGATGCAGACCAGTGGCCAATTAAATGAATCTTCTCATAGTTTCTAGACACACACACACACACACACACACACACACACACACAGGTAAATATACTTTGCAAGCATATGTAGTGCTGTTGTTGCATTTTTCCTTAACATTAGTTGTTTTCTGGCAGTCTGTGTTTTTATTATCCCCACCTATGCTAAATAATTTTGGTTGAATATGTTTTTCTGATGTTAAAAATATTTGGATCTTGACTACTGACCATAAATGCTTCTTATGTTTGCCTTGCATTTGGAGCGATCCTTATTGTCCAAACGTTCTAAACTGAGTTTTTGGTAGTAAACGGAGTGTAAGCAGAACAAACTCTGATCTGCATCTGTATATATCTACATTTGATTTGTTTGTGCCATTTTTTTAAATTAAAATACCTACTCTACTATTGTCCCAGTAGATCTATAGGCAGTTAACATGCAAAAATGATCATTTAAAGATGATTTTGGTAAATTAAAAAGATGAAGAGTAAGTTTCCCTGTTGCTGAAAGCATGTTGTTGTTGTTGCCCTTCAGTGTGATGAAAACCAAACCAAGGCCGCCGATAGTCCAACTCACAGACTATATTCCGATCACTTGAATTATTTCGGCTCCCAGGATAATCTTTTTACTCCTTTCTTCCCTCACAAACAGATTAGGCTTCAAGAGTAGAGAGAGAGACAGGAGCAGAGAAAAGGAGAGAAATAAAGGGGATGTCTGGGGACCTTCAATAGCCTCTCTGTGTCCATCTAATATGGAGCGCTAACATGCTGGGAGTTGGCCCTCTCCTTTCAGACAGACCCCAAACTCATAAAGACGTTCTCTATGGCCCCCAACCTGAAACCCACCCACTGAACCCCTCACTGGTCCAGGCCTCTTCCATGGGAACTCGCAATCTGCAACGTAATCCTAGTTTGGCCCCTGGAGAAGCCTTTCCAAACAAACCATGTGAGTCCTAATACCCAGAGCTTCACAAGTGGCTCCTGGCTAGGCCTGAGCTCCACCACCAACAACAGCTTGGCCCTCCTTTTTCTCTTTTCCTCATTCTTTCGTTTTCTCTCTTTCCACGGATAGACAACAAAGGAAAAGGATCTCCTTCTAATTGCTTCGAAGATTGAAAAGCTGAGAGGGTCGGTGGGCGGCTGTGGAGGGAAATGAAACAGGGGCTCAGAAGGCAGCGGGGGACCGTCAGTCTGGCTTTGCCTGCCCTGGTTGTGAGGTAACTGGGATAAAGGAGCTGGAGTGGCGACCGCGTCCACTGCAGAGCTGAGCCGAGTGGATCAGAGCGGAGGCGAGTGACTCCCAGGGCCTGGCTTTACAACTCTGGCCAAACGGAGGACTATGAGAACGTTGAAGAGCAGCGGCAGCTCTGCTGGAGGCCTTCTCCACACATGGGAAAGGATGCCTGGTCTTTACAACTATAGGATTCAGAATCCAAAAGGCTACGGCTTGCAGTTTGAGCCAAGTACAGTCAGACGCCACAAAGTTGTGTTTTAACAGCCAACCAAACGTTTGGCTCTTTTGTGAACAGTTAGTTCTGATCAGTGTGGCATATAGATGATGAAACGTGTGAACGCACAGCTGGGTGGTCCATGACCTTTGGATCTGTTGCCATGACATGCGGAGTCGCTAATAACATTCACTTTCACTCTCAGACAAACACTTTGACCTCTGCAGAGAGAGCTGCCATGAACTCGAGCCTCTTTGTTTTACTCCTGAAGCATCTAGTGGCAGATTCTGATCTTCAGAATTAGTAAAATGTTCTTTCGTCCTTGCAGATTGAGGAATGTGAGGACAAAGTGATTTTTTTTCTTAGAGGAATAGAGTTCAACACCTTACAGATACATCCAGTCAACCACTAACTGCAATGTACTTTATAAGGAAGGTGTTGCATACGGATACATTCCTCCCACTGTGAGATAAGATCTTGTGAATCATCTTTGGTTGCAAATACAGCTGCCGTGCAGTTTACTGGAAATGCTTCGCACATTTTGTACATCTAGAAAATACATTTTAGCACATTCTTCTTTGAAAAAGTAAGTAAATTATGACTGATGGAGAGATCATATGAACACCACATTTCAAATTCCGCATCAATTCTCGAATGAATTTGGGTCTAGACTTTGACTGGGCCATCTTGATCTAAGCCTCCACTTCTCTTCTAGTATTTTTGGCAGGTCTTTGACCTTTGCTTTAGTCTCGCGTCTTCTGCGGCCACTAACAGGTCTGCTCTGCATTTAGCACCATCGATTTTCCCACAAAGCCCGAAATACATCCCATATCATGAGGCTGCCACCACCGTGTTTCACAGTGAGAATACAATGTTGAATTACAGGGTTATTTTTCTGCCAAAGGTTGCAGCTTGCATGATGGCCAAAACGTCCGACTTCCGTCTTCTGTGACTTCTTCCTTTTGGTTCTATGGCAATCAGCAAACCTGTCTTCTAATGACAAAAGATCTCCTGATGCCATTCTTTCATAATGACTGCACAATTTCACTCCATTTTGTGTTGATCTGTGACTTAAAAACCCAGCAAAGGAGATAGAAGTTTGGGGTTGTAACGATGCAAAAATGTGAGCAAGTTCAAAGGTTGAATATAAAACCGCCCTCCCTTCTACATGTGTAGTGACACAAGATCCAAAGGCTTTTGGCCTTCCTAGCTCCCAGAAGTTCCCTCAGTCTCCCCTCCCTGACCTCCTTTCATCCCTTCATCCCTCCGCCTTTCTTCTTTTTTATACAAATCAGCCACTCAATGTCATGCACATGTTTTACTGCTATTTGAACTCTGGCAGCGAACTTCAAACAGCTTTCAAAGTGAGCTGAGTTTTTTTTGCCTCCCCCCCACTCCTCTCCTATTGCTCCCTATCGCTGCCTCTTTTTGAGAGAACACAGCCGTGCTTCCAAGTACACCTGATCAGAAGGTCGAGAGATGGGGGATTATGATATGCAAATGAGACTTTGTTATCATCGCTGACATTCGTTATAAAGCCGAACGGGAGGAGCGCTGACATGAAAAGGTGGCAACTCTCCCCCTCCACTGCCTCTTTTAGCATAAACTCCCCTCTGTAACTCGTTGGCCTACCCAAGGCCCTTTTTACACTTGGATCAAAAGGTTACACGCAACAAAGGAAGGTCTGTATGGGGAAGAGAAAGCACGTTGCACACACTAATATCTGCTTTTACACCGTCAAGACTGCCGACTGGTCAGCCGGCATAAGATGTGAAAAAGTGTTGAAGCAAAAAGAGATGTCTGAAATCGTCCCGATGAGACCTGTCCACTTGTCACTTGTAGCAGAGTCCAGTTTCCAGTCACTCCAGAAGACTTTTAAGTCGCTTCTTTACTGCTGATTGGATGCATACTCAGACATGTTTACGTTTTAAAACGGCCCTCTTTTCAGTGACCATATAGGTTCTGCTCAAAGAGCTGAAGCAGAGTGGAGGTCTGAGCTGCTTTTCCAGCTGCTAGCCCAGCCCAACCGCCTTGCTGTTGGAAGAGGGGGCTTCATGAACTTCATTAAAGGATAGTTACCGGAGCAGCTGAGAGCCGATTGGCCTGGTGGCCTTTGAGTCCAGCAGCAGGGGGTCCCGAGTGCTTTGATGTGTAACAAACTGTTTAATAATCTCTGAGAGCTAGAAGCAGCTCCTGGAGCCTCACAAAAGGCCAAGCACCTGCTATGTGAGTAAAATCCTCTACTGCAGTGAGTGGTGCAGCACCAATTATTATTATTATTTTTTTATTTTCTTAGCTGTATTTGCATTTAAAAAGTTACGAGGTTAATAACACGTCAGATAAAAACTCTGCTCTGTGCCCAAACGGTTTAAGAGTCACCGGAGCCGGGCCGGATCCGGTATGAGGATCTGAGCTTAACTCACCTGCACATAAACCCACCATAGCACCACTAACTTCCCAATTACTTGATCTTATTTAATTATTTGCTTGCCATCTATGCTCAGTGTTGCATCCACTGAAAAAGGCTACTGCTTGATTATATATTTTCAAACATTTCATGTGAATTTATTGGTGTCATGTCAATTTAATATTTAAGAAGCGCTAGAAATTATTGAATTGGCTTCAAATTGAGACACTTAAACCCCTCAAACACTAAAGATTGAGGGCTGCTGTCCTCAGAGGATTTTTTTTTAAAGGCTGAATAACCTAATTAAGTAAAAATCTTCAAAATTGTTCCATAAAGCTGATTCGGGCTGATGAATTATTAAAAAAAAGAAAAATATTTTGCTTGTCCAACAAGCTACTCCATCATGGTGACGGTGTCCTTTCTTTTATGTGCCTCTGGTGTGCATACGTTTTCAATGTCTTTGCCTTTTTCTTTATAGGCTGTTAATGACTTTCAGACGTAATGCACAAATTCCGAATCCTTAAATAACACAAAAATACAGATCCAGCTTGTTGTGATGCAGCAATTACAGCTAAAATTATGTTAAATCCATTGTCATTTGAGTAAATGTTGACTTTAAACGTATTTAAAAGAAAAAAAAATCAAAATCAGCTGAGGATGTTGAAGAAATGGAACAAATCTCAACCGTGACCACTAGGTGTCTCCCTACACCACCCCAGCACTCCTGCTCTCGTGTTGATGAGGAAAAAAACAGGCTGTTGATGCATTCACTTGATGTAGATTAAAACTGCGCTCACATCATCGATGAACTCGGTTACTTCTGTTGTTCAAGTTATGTTTGCGAAATGTGTGTGTGGGCTACGGAGAAATCCGAGCTGACGTCCTGTCTTTCAGGTCAAACTTAGGTGGACGTTTCTCCTTGGTACCAGCAGATGGCGCCATATCCAAGCAAATCTAATCAGATTAAACGAACCCTAACTTGGACTCAGCTCCTGTCTGTCTGCCAGTAATTATGTCAGCTGATCGGAGAGAAAAATGAAAGCTGGTGTTCCGTGTTGATTTCGTTCCACAGTTTGTTTGTGTTTTTTCTCTCTCTCTCCCAAGAACAAAGCAAATGTCATATTTTTTTGGGAGGGGAGTAAGGGGACTTTTTTCTAAGATGACTGTCCACATTTTTGCTTTTTAAAGACAGCGCAGGGTACGTATTTGGTTAGCGGAGGGAAATCCGCGTCTTACTGGCACGCTGCAAAGCCGTGACGCAATCCACGCTCCGCTGCTGCAACACAATAAAATATGAATCGCCAGTGCGCCGACGGTCCGACTGCTCCGTAAGAATCATTCAAGGAAGGTGAGGAGGGGGGTGTGGCGCCAACCAACCCACCCGTTTACCAAAACAATACACGCCCCATGGCCCTTGCATGTGGAGCGTTTAATAAAGCCGGAACCAGGAGCCAGGTGTGATTAGCCAACCTTCAGCGGCTCAGCGCCCTCCGTCTCCTCTCCTCTGCAGGCTGCGGGGAGGTGAAGAAGGCGCTCCGAGCGGGGAATCTCATCGCATTACGCAGATTCGGGTCCTCGATGCTGAGCAACGCAGCAGACTGAGGATGGGGATGCGATAAGCGGAAGGTAAGACTGATCACACGCAAAGCAAACAATCAATAAATAAATAAACAAATGGGGAGAGGACCTTTAAATAGACCCGAATTACAGGAGGAGAGAAATCAACAAGGATGTTGTCCTCCTTTCTGCACCAGCCTCGCTGTTTCTGGATGCCACAGTGCTGTCCAGCATCATGAAAGATGTTTCTGTGCCTGCACAGTGCAAGCCATGGACTGTCTTTTTATTTTAGCTCTGTGGCGTGGGGCCGAATAATTCACGGCTGCCACAGAGAAGGGGTTTATTCTTGGAAGTGTCACTGGTGAACTCGGTGAGCTCCTCATTACCCATGCAGCCCACTGTGAGCTGCTCAGGTTGGTTATAAGGGCTGCTGATGCTGCTGCTCAGTCCTGTCGTCTCCTCTGGGTTCCCCTCTGAGCAGCAGGCCACAGAATCACAGCCACTGGACAGATCAGCGGTGGGTTCATTCTACAGGTCTGGAGAGAGAGAGAGAGAGAGAGAGAGAGAGGACTTCTTCCACAAGTGTGATTAATTGCAACAAAATGTTAAAATATTTAATCTGTCTATCTTTGTGAAATTTCTCAGTTTTTTTCATTACATTTTTTTCCTCAAGGAATTTTTTTTTTTTCAGTATAGTTTTGCATTTACCTCCATCATGCTTCCCATAAACTCTCCCCAGTTTCCCTGTCCTGTAAAGACAAGTATATCCACTGCATGATGCTGCCACCACTGTGCTTCACTGTGGGGATTGTGTTGGTGACATTTAGTTGTTTTTCGTCAGAATAAAATAGGTTTCTTGAATACCACCATTTGAAATGGTTAATGTCTTTTGATGGTGCCAAGTGCTCTCTCAGATCAAGTTAGTTAAATCTTGATTTCCATTGGATAATCAGGAACCAATCGGTGGCAAGCCTTATTAAGCTTTTGAAGCACCCCTTGTTTAAATTGCTTTAGACATAGAAATGTGCTCTGCCCTGTTACAGTGGATGTGGCGTCTAAAGAGATTAAACTCCAGCCTCTTTGGAATAGGAAGCAAGACGGGGACTTAAACCACAACAGGAAACCAAGCTATGAATTCCTTAAAATAAGTAAATAAATAAAAAAGGACTGAAGTTCTGTGACATGACCTCAAATGAACCATTTGAGCTGAAAACCGTTGAATGTGGCTGAAACCTTAATGCAAATATTCACTCTAGTTTTCTGACTGTTGACATGCTTAAAACTGCAAACAGAAATAGTTTTAAGGGAATTATATTTATTATAGAAAGTACTTCAAATGGTTCCCTAGTGAAGATAAGTCTCCCTCAGTACATCTGGGCATTTCTGTAAAACAATATTTTCATTTAGGATTAAAATTAAGATTTCTGGTTATTCTGATCTTTTTATTGTTAGATTTTAAACCACTTAGGATTAGCTATATATGTTTGTTTTTTTTTTTCACTCTTTCTCTTTATATTTTCCTTTCAGTCAGTCAGGCCTTCTTGTGATCTTTCAAAGTGGATTGCTGTTGGTTCAAGCTTTCTGGTTGAAACTTGATCAGGATGCGTCAAGAGAAGAAGCATCCTAAATGTACAGGGTTAGATGTAACTCGTTGTTTCAGATCCAAACGTCTTTTTAATCCCCTTCACAGCAAATGAGGATTGAGAGTAATTACAGTTATCTCAGACAGATGGATCACACTGCCACTAATATATTTTAATTATGTAATTTCCTGCCCTCGAGTAACAAATTTAGCAGATTATCTTTTTTTTTTTTCCCTTCTCTTTCTCTCTGTGTGTGCAGGCTCATTCCCACTCTGATCTGTGGCCAGGCTGTCGGTGCAGATTGTGTCTCTCAAGAGGAGAGTGAATGCCTCTAAAACGCCAAGGTAAAAACACGACACACTCGCGCTTTCCTCCTTTAACCTGGAGCGTTCGTGTGTTGGTTGGTGGTGATGTGGGAAACGATTCACGGCCCTGACCAGCCTCGCTTTTCCTCACTTTAATCTTCTCCGTCTTAACTTCTCCTCCTCCGTCGCTCCGTGTTTCCACGCTGCGTCGCGTTTCTGGATGAAGAACAAGTTGACGGGGGAACAGCGTTTCCTGTATTTGATGGGATAAACTGCTGTAAGGGTAGAAGCAAACAGTGGCGTCTGGACCGCTTGAATAAGCTATTGTTGTTGGTTGAATAAGGGCTTCGGCGACGGCAGGTTGTGGCCTCTGTAACCCAGGAGATTCTGGGAAATGTGTCCAGTTAAAACAGAAATGACACTGAAGCTGATTGGACTTGCCTGTGTTTATACCATGTCTGTGTTTACGGGCTTCTGTGATGCGGGCAGTGAGCGTTTCATCTTTAGCTGCAGCTCATATGCTGTTAAATTCATCCTCAGGGTGTTTGGCAAGCTGTCTCTTAGTCATCAGTCAGCCCTACGCTCCATCCACCTCGTCTTTAAAGCCACGTGTCGGGGCTGGAATATTTCATGTTTGCTGCCGTGGTGTTGAATTTGAAGTTTACCGGTGCAGATTTATGTCTCCTGTTTGACTGTAGCACATTGTGGAAAAAGACGAGAAATGGTTTGAATGCAGTTCTTGGAAACGGTTCTCTAAAGACAATTGTAATGTCTGTGCATTTTCCTTATTCACATAAAGGCTGTCTACAACTTTACACATTTTACTACATTACAGCCACAAGCTTCAGTTTCTTATACAGGTATCGATAGAGTATGGTTAAACTTAGTTGGACTGGATGGAGAGCAAATCTGAAATATTGCCATAGATTTTCAGTTGGATTAATGTCTGGACTTTGACTAGGTCACCCCAACAAAATGAATGTGATGTGGTTTGCAAGTCTGACCGGAGGTTTTGGAATATTGTCCTGCCATAAGGTGAAACTTTGCCCATATCTTTTTTTTTTTAGCCTCCATCAAGTTTTCTTCCACCGTTGCCCTGCACATGCCACCGTGTTTCACTGTGGAGATGGTGGGTTAAGGGTGAATGTTAGATGCGTTTTGTGAACGGTGCCTAAGTTGTGATGTTTAGGCAGCTCTTAAGTCAACCTTATATTTGATGCACATCCTTTCTTGCCATTGACATTGTGATACACAAAACCTCAGATAAACTAAGTAAGCAGTGCTTGAAAGCTGAACAAAAGCTAAAAAGGCGCCACACATACTAACATGCTTAACCTTTTGGTGTTTTTCCTGACACATCCATCTCGCTGAGCTCCAACATGTTGAGGCCTCTTGAACGCTACTCTAAATAATCCTGTCCTTGAACAGTCAGTCAGATGGTCTTGTCTTTCAACTCAATTTGATACACCCAATTTGACTTAGGGGTCTCAAAATAAATATGTCTGAGCTGCGAAGGAGAAGAAATAACACCAGCTTTTGAAGGAGTCCTAACATTTGCTGCATATCATGCAACCTGTCAGAATGCAGCTACATTGGGAGTTTTGCTCTGCAGCTGCTAAATATCACATGTCCCCTCCGTCACACATATATCTACGCTCTGATGTTAAACACAGCGGACAGTCTTATTTCCTTTTTTTTTTTTTTTTTTTTTTTTTTTTAAATCTTGCTGAAAAGAAACTGTCGTGCAACACAGTTTTGCCACGGATGAATGCATGAGTGGATGTATACACAGAGCATGCAGCTTATGGCACTCTCACTGTCGAAATGAAGCTGCTTGTGGGGTATCCGTCAGCGCTTGACACAGTGACAGCCCACGAGTTTCAATGGTGCCACAGCTGCTACTTTGGTGCTAATACACATATAGAGCCGAGGACTGCTCTTTGCCAGGATAAATCGTTCTGAGCCATGACGTATAAATAATCCGCTTCTACTTTCAGAGGATCTTTAGCAGCTGGAAGACAAAGCTGTTAAGCATAAGACTGTTGTTAATGGGAAACTTAAAAGGAAGCAGTTAGGGGCTGGAGCTTCCCTCCTGTTGCGACTATCGCAGCCAACAGGAAGTTCCAGCATCAGATAGAAACGAGGAAGTTCGCTCGATCGTGCACAAATATTTGATCCACACACAAAACACAACCTTTAGGGATAAAGTTTCATGAGGCCTGGCTCAAGAGTACAGAAGTGCACGCTTTCGGTTCTTTCATAATTTTCCTTACGTAACACTGATGAGGTCTGGTATCTTTGAAAAGTTACTGTTTGAGAAAGATATCTTTGCATCTGTGTTGTGTCATCTACTCTGCTGGGGAACTAAACGCCCAGGGTTAGCATGAATTATTTCACCATTCATGTTTAACGGTTTTAGTTGCTCAAGAGTAAGGGCTCGCTTTGTTGTATTTTAAAAAATAATAATTTTATAATAAACCTGATAAGTTTCATTGCTCATCCTCACACAGGACTTCACTTTAAATAATCTACAGGTTGCTTTATCAACCTTTTATTGAAGCTTGTATGTGGGCCATTGTTGTGTCCAAATTTTCTGTGTGAAACCTGAGCTCATTTCTACTTGGGGCTTGACTTTGCTCCGAAATACTTGACATTTTCCAGGTGTAGTCTTCGAGAGAAGACAGTTGCATTTCTGCTTATGCAGATGTTGCAGTTGTGTTGGTAATTTTTAAGCCTTAACCTTCAGCAGGCAAAGAACTTGCTCAGAGTGGCAGGGATGAAAGTTACCTCCACATCTGGGATCACGGCTCTTAACAGAAATATTTATTAGACGACTACTAAAACTGTCTGCCCTCATTTTCTTAATCTGAAATCTCATTTTCTGTGCTACAAAGCCTCAGTTGAAGCACCATCCTTCACTTGTTGGTGGACTAAAGACCAAAACATATTTAACTATTCTTATCATTCTGTAAATCCTCACACGTTTGATGTTTTCCCGTTTTTCTTTTTTCCTTCTTCGTTCCTCTGTGTGTTGTGTAATTGGATGGATTATATCTAAAACCAAAACCCTGAAGCTGTTTGGGTTTCATCAGCAGCAGTTACACAGATTATAAATTTCTTAATGCCGTCGAATGTTTGTATGTTTTGATCTCTAAACTGTCAAACTGGGTTATGTGGCGCGGAGCGTCAATATCCAATGCAAATCTTTTGCTTGGCGTGAAATCCTCTTGGCGCCTCTTGAGCAAATAAGCTCCTCCTAATGATGAAAATCAGCACCTTTTCATCTCAGTGTTTACAGGCAAGACTGTAGTGAAGAGTGGGAGTCGTCTGGAGAAAGTGCGTCCCAAATTGACTGAAATGATGTAAAAAAAATTCCTTTCTCCCTCTCTCTCTTCCTTCCATCCATCTCGTCTAAGATCGAGGATTTGTTTTGCAATCCAAACATGTTTGAAAAACGCACACTGTGTGTCTTTCGCTGCAGATCTTCTTCTAACTCTCGTTTCATAAAGTGAGGAGAACAGAACAAAAGGAGGGCAGAGCGATAAGTGCAGACGCAGATAAAGAGCTTCACTGTTGGCTTGGCAACCACCCGATCATGTGCATCGTGATGTTTGAGGTGATGACGACGGTAGATTCTCGGCTGGAGAGGAAGGAAAACTGGCTTGATCCTGCAGAGTACTGTCAGTGCTCTTCATCTCTGTTTAATTGTTTTTCTTTTTTGGTTGTTGTTTTTTATTGTTGTCCTGCTGGAGCTTCATGACTCAAAGCATGGATGCTGACCGTCAAAGGCCTCCTTTGAGGCCTGATGAAGCCCATCGTACCGAACCCAGATTTAGGATTGTGTCAGGATTGGTTTCTGTGTTTCCTCCCATGTGGGAAGGGTTCACTGCAGGCAGTGTATTTTCACAAATAAAACTCCCTAAATAAAGTTCAGGAAACTAAGTGCCCTCCCAAGTCATGTAATCACTAATCACTCTGTGAAGGCCTCAGAGGTTTGTTAGACAACATCAACAAACATGATTATGAAGATGAAAGATTACAGCTGACGGGTCAGGGAAATAAAAATGCTGAGCAATTTAAGACAAGGTCACTAATGGCAACTTCACTAATATTACTTTTATGGACGGGCTAGTTGCAAGAAGAAAACTATGTTGAAAGAAATCCATCATAGTTCTTTTCTCAGGTTTATCACAAAACATGTTGAGGTCACACCAAGCATGTAGAAGAAGGTGCTCTTGTTAAATGAGACTATAATTTAATTTAATTTTTTTTTTTTGGCCAGCTCTCTAAATGCTTTGTGTGACCAAAAACAGACAACTACTAAATATGGCCATGACCACCAGTAAGCATGGCGGTGGCGGCATTATGCTGTGGGGAGGCAGGGAAAGGTGGATTGGAAGATGAATAGAGCTACATAGCTGCCATAGATAAAATCCCACAGTATCTCACTAGAAGTTCACCAGGTAAACATCACTAAACTTAGAACAAAAGATATAATTACATAGTGTAACTCAGAGGATGGTTATGTGTAATTATGGCCTAGCCAAAGTTCAGACTTGAATCCAATTGAAAATCTGTGTCAAGACTTGATTTATATTTATGTTCATACATATGGAAGAAACATGATCCAAAAACACTTCCACCTGTAATTGCAGCAACAGGTTGCTTTACAAAGTGCTGACTCATGGGAGGTTGAATACAAACGCATGCCACACTTTTCAGATTTTACTTTGTAAAAACAAACAAACAAACAAAAAACAAAAAGAAAAGATTCTTTTCACTTCACAATTATGCATTTTCTTCCCTGTGTTGGTGCATAGCATCAAATCTAAACACAATTCATTGAAGTTTGTGGTTGTAATGAAAAATGTGGGTTTACAAAACACTGTACATGTTTTTGCTACCCAATTATACCAGTTTAACCAGAATTATGACACTTTAATCTTGAGCTTGAGGCCATCTGTGTTGCTTACTCTTAAAATAGTTGAGAATCCCCTCTAGAAAAACATCTTCATAAAGTTAAAGTCTCATCGTGTGCTTTTTGTGTGTGTGTGTTCGTTCTCTGAGTGCCGGCCGCCGTTTCTATTGTGTTGAAAATATTTTCAGAAACAATCGATATTTGTAGCCTTTTTCATGGTTTAATGTTCAGTCATTTTTGGTATTGATCAATCTGTAAAAGTTGATTTGCTTTCTGAATGAGGATATTTGATCACTAAGCAATGAAAAGCCTTTTTCTATTAACATTTTGTCTCCTGTAGTGAGACCTTTGTGTGGGCATGGAGGTGTCAGGAGATCAGCAGCCACTCTAAGCTATTTTTAAGCCCTGCAGAGTTTGTATAGATGGGCAGCATAATAAAAAGTTTGACTCTCTTCTTCTTTTTCACTTCCTGTGGCTGGCACGTTGCCGTTGTCATTGTTCTCTTGACTTTTCCACCTTTGTCTCGTTACCCTTTTTTTGTGCAGGTGCATAGAATGTTGTGTCATTATTACTTCCCTTTTGTCCGGTTGTTTCCCAGCCTGTTTTCTTTTTCACGTGTTCTTTGATTCGTTCAGATTTTGGTGATTTCTGTTCCAGACCAAACGGACAGAAGAGTCATGCAAGATTGAGAAAGTTGTTGCTATCGAGCAAAACATTTTGCATCTCCATTTTTGTTTCTTTTTTGTTTTTACACCTTTTAAATCTGCCTGCGGTTCCATCAATAAAGCTCAAAACAATATAATTGTTTATCACAGTAACTTCTGGGACAATTTGTTATTGTGACATGCTTACCTCCACCTATATGCAGTGAGAGTGAATATTCATGAGGTTACAACCTTTAAGACAAGTTTATTATGTATAAACATCTTTGACTCTGCAGGCTTCATTTAACATTAAAAGTAAAACTTCGTCAGTAGAGCACTGATTCAAAACACAGCAGAAAATGTGCAACCGATTGATGGATTAGTTTTTTAGTTTTTCTTGCGTACGTCTCCATCGAAGAGAGACTAACATTAGGTCCATATAAAACCAGACATGCTGCTTTTCTCAGGTCCAGTGTACTGATTTGGTTTATTTAACAATAAAGGATAAAATTAACAGACTGCTTTATAGGAAAGGCTCCAAGTCACACCACTGAGGAGCTCATTTCTTTTTGGTGCACAGAATGGCTGGACAAACGATAAGACAGGGTTGCTCAAGTCCAGTCCCCAAGAGCTAAAAATCCTGCATTATTACTATTATTATTATTATTATTATTATTCGTCTTCTTCTTCTTCTTCTTCTTCTTCGTCTTCTTCTGCTTCTTCTTCTGCTTCTTCTTCTATTTTTATGGTGGTTGGCAAACAACTTACAGTGCGTTACTGCCGTCTTAAGTATGGATCAGATGTTTTATTTACTATATTCTTCCCAAAATACCCGTTCTTCTTAAAACTATATCCCGAGATGACTTTTAACTTATTTAAGTTTCTAATTAACACATTTCTTTCATGAATATACTTATTTCATTCCAATATACTGTTTCTTTTTGCCCACAATAATTACAACAACATGTTATCCTGCCACTTTTAGGTGCATTCCTGCTTTAAAATAACTGAGTCAAAAGCCTGAATTCCCTCCCCAGCAGTAGCCCAGCTCTGCAGAGGCCTGGTTACGAGCCATTCATTTGATGCAGGTGTGTTAAATAAGGGATACAGTACATGGAAGTAGCAGGTTGGTAGGACTGGACTTGGGCAACCCTGCTATAGAAAATACATTTCCATTTCTGCTTTAGAAAGCAGCCCATTCTCTTCACTAGACTAGTAGTTATTATGTTTTGAATTTGTTTTTAGCAGTGATGTTGGAATGGATATTATATAGAGATATTTTCTGGGTTACTTTACAAAGCTTTATTTCCTCCTTTTCAATTTTTTTTTTCCTTGAACCCAAGTGTCTCATATCCTCCTGACTACCAGTAGTTAGTTACTCTATAAAAGGAAGTCGCCTTCCTTTTAGAGTCTTTCAGTCTCGTATATCATTCTTCTACCTTGCTGCTTTAACCTCCCTCCCTTTCTCTCTCGTCTCCCGGGTTCTGGCTTTAGCTGATTAGAATGGCCCTGCTTGCTTTGATTAATTGGATGAGCCTTGTCTCACTGCCAGTCTCCTCTCCTCTCTGCTGCTCTCCAATTGTCTCCTTCTCATCCACAGGCAGCTAAAACAAACATAAAGCTTTTAATGAAAGTGGTGCTTTGAAAACACGGGCTAACTAAAGCTGCGGGTGAGCCAGCAAACGTAAAGAGTATTTTTTTTTTTCTAATGATGATTGTGGCCTTTATAGAAGTACTTTTAGCCTGTATGTCATATTTAAAGAGAAGATGTCATATAAACTACAAAATATGTAGTCTTAAATTAATAGACAGTTAAAAAAAATAAAAAAATCAGCAAAAACATTGAGGCCCATGCTGTAAATTGTTTTCATCCACTTTCTTAAAGGGATATTTTCTCATCAGAACCCTGTATTTACATTGATTCAGTGGGCAAAGCTGTGCCTCATTTGTCTTTTCACTGCGCCCTGCTGAACTTGACTCCAGGAAAGCTTGAAACCGTCGTTCTCTGCTCACCCTGTCAACCTTCTCCGTGTTTCAAATTGTCCCTCAGGCGTCAGACACCACAACAACCACCTCCATCTCTGTGGCCCTGTCTTCCAGCCCATTTGTCTCCTCTGTCTATTCCCCTGTCCTTTATTTGCACACATCTTTGCCTCTCTTGTTTCTCTCTCTCTCTCTGTCATTGCTTTTCCCCTTGTCTTTCTTAGAATTTCTCTTCAGAGGTTTGTCCATGAAAGGTCTTCTGATGACTCCTCAAACCCCCCTTGGCCTTTTCTTGGCCAATCTTCCCTTTCCTTGTTTTCATTCTGACTGATCTGCCCCTAGCAAAGCCATACCAAAATAAAAACACGCACATACAGAAAACCCCATTGTACCACAACAGAGTTGAAAGGTTGACTGGGAAAGTCAAATGCTCTGTTATTTCACCCAGGCAAAATGATGCGGTGCCAACCAGACAGCCCCCATGGGGTGCTGAGGCTTTCTCCGAAATGGAGGCAATCACAAGAGCTAACTGCTATGTTGTTGTGCTCCGTCCCTCCCCCTTCTTCCATTACGAACCATTTCTATCTTCAATCCAAAAGCCTGAAAGCCACAGGCTGTTTGCAGCGTGTGTGTCTCTTTGTGCACATGTATAATGTTAACCAAGGTTGATGGACTCTATATAACGTGGGAGAATAAATGGGCGTAATAAAATAGCATGAACAGACTGCTTCATTTTGCAGATTAATCGCATGACAAATGACTTTGTTCCAACTGCACTCAGAGTATTTAGTAAATACTTTTTTACTGTTGTAAAGAATTGTAAAAAAAGAATTGATAGAAAGTAAAGAATTGATTATATTTTTAAAAACTTACTTGAACTACTGAAGCCTTCCAGCCAGCAGCGGAGTTTGTACAGGGGTCCGCAAAACTCAGCTTTTATTTTGACGTTCCACTTCCGCTTATTGGCAAGCTAATTTGCATTACAGCTAAATGAACCTAAATATTTTATGAGCTAAATATTTAGCTTGAAAATTAAATGTTTAATTTGGAAAATATTTAGATATTACATTTAGTTTTAAAGTAATATTTAGCTCAGACCTAAACTTTTAGTTTGAAACTAAACATTAAGCTTCCTAGCTAAATATTTAATTTGAAAGCTAAATATTTAGCTTGTGAATTATGAAGAACATGTAAAAAATATGACTTTGAAAAATTAACTCCTGCATTTTTTATTTTTTTGACAGTTTAAATAAACCAAAATTATTGCTGTTAATTTCTTTGTACTGTGTGACCTTACATACAACACCCCATACAGAGCCAGCCTGCCAGCTTCATCTTTACATAATGAGGGCTAATGGGTCGGGGAACACGGACATACTTGTCCAGTCCACTCATATTAGGATGAAGAGAGCTCGAGGACTTTTCTCTAGGGATCTTACCACATCCACCATAACTTCTAAATGCTCCTTACTTTTATTCATTTTTGAAGTTGTTTTTTGTGCTCAACAATTGCTATCTCCCTATGTCTCTTCCAGGCTGTGAGCCCTGTGGAGGGTGATGATGAGCAGCCAGGGCAACAGCAGAAAGGGAAGTGGCCAGCATGCTGACACTCCTCCTCTACGTCATGCACCAGGACCCAAGTTGCAGGTGCAGCGCTCCCACTCTCGTGACACCATCACCATCCACTTCTCCGCTCTGGGAAAGGAGGAGGAGGATGAGGAAGAGGAACTCTATGGGTTATCTGTTGAATGTGCTGCTGCTAAATCTGTTCTCGATGGTGCTGCGGGACCCCAAAGCCAAAGCACAGGCACTGATGGCCAATCTGTTGCCAAAGGCTTGGACGCAAAAGAGGAGCTAGGGCTGGAGTCCGTTGATGTGGAGACCTTCTCTGGATCTCTAATGCCTGTTTCAGCTGCCATCCTTCCTGCGCAGCCATTGGACTCGCATCCACACACGCCCTCTCTTGCAATGACTGTTAACCCTGTTTCAACTCACTCCCACCTGAGCTCCACTTCTCCTGCCAGCTCCTCCTGGGCATCCGATCGACCAGCCCAACCCCCTTTGATTAGTTCCACTTCTTCTTCCCCTTGTAAGTCTGCAGCCCTTTCCTCTTCCAAGCCTTTTCTCAGCCTTGTTAGATCTTTGTCAAATGATGTCGACTCTCGAGAAACTGCTCCTGTAATTGCTACTGTCGTACCCCCACATGCCAGACACAGACACTTAATGAAATCTTTTGTTAAGTCCCTCTCCACGGACACTTCAAAGGGCGAACATCACGAAGGGCCTCTTCAGCACCATTCTCACCACCAGCAAACGCAGCCAACCCACCGCACTCCGCCTCGCAACATGCAGCTTTTCAAGCAGTTCTCCCAGCCTCGTTTGTCTTCCTGCCCTGTCGCGGTCACTCAAGCAGGCGGAGACTCCAAAACAGCACCTTCTTCGCCTATTATGTCCCCTGATGGGAGATCTTTCTTTAAGGTCCAGGAGGTGGAGGCCAGGATAGAAGACACCAAGAGGCGGTTGTCAGAGGTGATGTCAGATCCCTTGCAGCTTTTTAGTAAGATTATTGGGGATGAGTCGAGTGTGGGGCCTGCTGGGAGTGCAGCTCATCGGGGCAAGTCGCTCTCCTCCAGTGCGTCGGAGCTCAGTGGCGTGACTGCGGTAAATGGACATACAGAAGCTAACAACAACTATAGCATCAAAGAAGAGGGGGCTGAAGAGGAGGAGACTCCTACGGAAAAGGGCCCCGACTCGTCTTTTTTCTCTTTCCCATCACTGTCTCTTGCACCAGCTCTCACCCAGGCCTCGTCATCTACTCTCCACAGGTCTCCCTCTCTCACCCTGGGACGCTGCTCCATGTCAGCCCTGGTCGCTCGACAGGAAGATGAGGACTTCTGTGAACTGTACAGCGAGGACTTTGAGCTGTGTACAGATACTGAGACACCAGATGGTGAACGATCCATATCTCAGCAGCCTCATACTGGTAGCACTGGTTTGGGTAGTGAACTGGATGCAGAAGATGAAGGACTGGTGGAAGAAATGGAGAATGTGCCTGTGACTGGCCTCATCTTCTTAACACAGTTGTTGTATTTGTACTTAGTCCTTCCAGTGCCTCCATGTGTATGTTCTGTGTTACATGGGATAGTAGTTGGGTTCATGCTGGCCCTGCTGGTCCTTTGGCTGTCTGCTCCTCGATGCTCCTCATCAGGGACCAGAACAAGGAGATGGAGGAAAGACCAGCGAAATGTTCCCCAGCTGGATGTGAAAGAACCAGGAATATTCAAGGTGAGAGTCAAACAAAGCACCACAGAGTCAGATAGGGGCAACAAAATAACCAAAGGGACATCGTATGAAAAATGAAAATGTGCTTTGAAGGATTTATCTAGGCAGGGATTTTAGAAGATCGTCTTGTCTCTGTTTTGAGTGTAACTACAAAGGAAGTCGAGTTTTACCAACAAATACCCATTCACTGACATCTATGTACAATCCCAGCAGCACTTCAAGGCAGTTTTAGGATAAAATCTTGCTGCGTAAGCTTTCAGATGTTTGCATAGCTAAACTCAGGTCTGTTTAGTTGAAAAATTATTTCAACTGTGGATAAACATTATTTTACCAGTAATGACTCCTGCTGTCCCAAAGAGTTTGTTCAGTGCAGCACATTTGAATTAATCCTTGTGCTATCATTTCAATTCTTGGTTTAATTGGATGTTGATCTACAGTTTCTGCGCATTTGGTATGGCGATTGCCCACAGAATCCATAGCAGGATTAACGGCAATTCCTGAGAAGCTCAATTTTTTTATTTTTACGCTCCATTTACTTTCCCTTGCCATTGTCTCGCAAAAGTACCAACATCCCTTCTGATATTTGAAATAAATGAGGTTTGCGTCATATCTCTTTTTTTTTATTTTATTCTTAGTGGTAATCTAAGAATCAAATTGTTTCCAACCTCATAAAAGTGACAATAAAATATTGTTATAGGAGCATCACTGCAATTATTTTTATATTCTTAGTCAAACTCATTGAACTCTGCAGAGAGTACGTGGAGAAATGCTTAGTTCTTCGAGAAACTAAGCATTTCTCCACGTACTTGTTGCAAAGGAGAGTCTGGTGGCTAAAGGGCACAGCTGTTCCAAAACAGGAGCTCTGTGGATATGTTAAACATGATGCCTGATGATAGAGCCGACGGCGATCAGAATAGAGAAGCAGCAGCAGAAGGAATAAAGTTTCCCTTTTATTTTTCTTCTAACCCTAAGCTAAACTATTATGACAATATTTTTATATTATGTGGCATAAAAAAAATCTGTTCTGATTTTGTAGCAGGGAATTCATGTCTTTCTGTTTCCAATATCGGTTGTTATGGCAACCTTCTCGTGCTGTAACCTGCAGGGCTGGATGAATGAGATCCAGAGCTACGACCCAGAGATGTACCACGCCACCTTGACCCACTCTGTTTACGTCCGCTTGGAGGGTTCTGTTCTGCGTCTTTCCAAGCCCAACAGGAACATCTCCCGCCGTGCCGCACACAACGAGCCTAAACCTGACGTCACCTACATTAGTCAGAAGATCTACGATCTGACCGACAGCAGGGTGAGGTGCTTATGGCGTATGCTATTCATTGAAATAGGTTTTATTTTATTTTTTTAATGATTGAAAGCATGAGTCTGCATGCAAGAAGGCATGAAATATTTATTGCCAATTTGTTTCTGTGTTGGATTACATTCAAAAGTGAAAACATTAGTCATTAGTTGACGATGACCCAGATAATCCTACAGAAACCTTAATTTAATATAAATATCACACGGGGACATAAAAAGACCCAGTTCATCCTGGGAACGTTACCTATATGCAAAAACTTGAGACTATAAAGAATGGGCATTCAACTGCCCAAAAAAAAACTTAAACCTGTATGTTTAAATCATTTCACTCCTGACTCAACAGATCTACCTGATGCCCCAGAGTTTGGCTAGGAAGAGGGTTTGGAACAAGAAGTATCCCATTTGCATTGAACTGGCCAAACAGGAGGACTTCATGTCAAAAGCAGAGGGAGAAAGATCTGAAGCTGGGGACGAGAGAACCACTGGACTGTGTGAGAAGCTCGAACGAACAGACAAAGCTGAAAAAGCAGAAGTTTGCACTTCAGCAGAGGAGCAGAGAAGGCCGACCACCGGAGGAGGGGATCTGACAATCTACTTGTTTGGGAGGACTGGTCGGGAAAAGGAGGAATGGTTTCGGAGGTTTCTTCAGGCATCTCAGATGAAGTCGGAGGGGAGAGGTGGCAGCCTGTCTGGCATCTGCAAGAGTGGTGAGATGACTTCACGGTCACAGCTCTGGAGGTGTATGCATGACACGCACAGTGGAGTATTTTAGATTATCCATCTTTCTCCAAAGCACTCCCCGCTGTCAGAATCACCATTATTTTGAGCATGTAACTGCACTGCAATCAGATCTGTGTGTAAGCCTCAGCTTAGGGACTACCAATCCCCTGAACTGAGCGAACAGCAGAGTGTGAATGGGTCAGCAGGATTACATGCACAGGGGAGTAGCATATTATAGCATTGGTTTCCTCAGTGAGATATAAGCCTTTAACGATAAGACTTCATACAAGAAGAAACATAGCGTTCCTGGGTCCAGTGATGTAAGCAGAACAAGCTGGAATCAATTACTGTAGATGATTTAAATACATGCTGTTTCTGGGGTAATATAAATAGATTATGCTAATATTGTGCTGCAGTGCATTGTGAATAAGGAATACAAAAGAGATGCTAATCAGTCAGGCTTTCTCACAATCTTTAAGAAATTAATGATGAATGAAGGACTAATTCTTCCTGATGCATAATTTGTATCACAGTTCTCTGCTTCCTATGTTTCCATTGACATTCCACTTTTTCCTTCCGCCTCTTCCAGCCTTCTTGTCCGCTCACAGCCGCAGTGGCAGCATCCAGTCGGGCGGAGGCCCGGAGGCTGACAGCAGGGGCAGCAGCAGGGGAAGCCAGGAGGAGCTGTCTCAGCCTCGGCACAGAGAGACCCCCGCCTCTCTCTCCGGTGGCTCAGCTGGGGGGATGAAGCAGAAGATGCTGTTGGACTATAACATCTACATGGCCAAATATGTTAACCCCCAGGCGCCGCCCGGAAGCCCGACGGCTCCCGACAGCCCTGGGCACACCCCTGAGAGCAGCCCTAAAGCTACCAAAAAGGTATGGTGGGTTCATGTGAAGATGAAAATGCCTAGTGAGAACATCTGCTCGGGGGCTGGTCACAAGTAGACCAGTGGGGTTCCGAGTGTGTCCAGCTTTTATAGTATTGATGTCCTGCTTTGACATTTTGCTCTAAATAAGTTAGAGTGAAATGCAGAGCTTTGCAAAACTCTTGACAACCCTTGAACTATTCCACATTTTCTGCACACCTAGAGTTGGAAATTCTGTCTCATCTTTTTTGCTCAAATTCAATCAGGTTTGGAGTTAGCTTGTAGATTGAAACTCTGAACAGCAGTTGTCCATGTCTTGCCATGGATTACAAAATGGTATTTAAGATTTGACTTTTACCAGGTCATTCTAATGCATTCTATAAACAAACCCATTTAATGGTGGCTCTGGTTGTATTTCAGGCTTATTATCCTCCTGGAAGGTGAATTTTTGACTCAGTTTTTGTTGTTTTGCAAAAAGTGTTTTTTGGGTAGTTTTATGGTTTATGGGCAATGTGGCTTCTCATCCAGGACATCACTGTTTGAAAACAGTACAAGCTCTCAAACAAAATTATGTTTAGCTGCACCCTGAACACATTCTTCTAGTGGCATGTTTTACAACCAAAGGGCACTTCTTTTGTTATGCTCAGTGTAAGCATTAAATATAACTATAAACCACTGATGAGAATGCCCACAGTAAAGAGAGAAGTAACAAAATGGTGTGACTGTTATCTATTTTTCTTTTTTGATTTTCAGTGTTAGTTCATCACCAAACAGTGTTTTGCAAAGAACCACTATAAAGTTTGATTTTGGTCACATCTGACCATTTTCTTCATGTTTCCACTTGGCAATATGTCAACAGGACTTATGTATTCTTTATCTATAAGTTTTAAACAATATACTACTACCATTGTTTCACATATTTTCTTGGAAACAAGTCACGGTAACATTTTCCATGAGCACGCTGGAAATGGAGGGTGGCAGGGTTATCAAAATGGTTAGCAGGGTCACTTCACTGCTCAAAGGTGCTGTCTGTTGCTGCTTGATGCCTTATGTTGTTTGTTATACATCCACATGGTATGTTTAACCCTTTCAAATTAAACCATATGGCCTTTATAGAGAGCTATCTGCCCTTTCACACACACAACATAGAGCGCCTGAGGCAGGGGGATCTACAGCAGAGAAGCAACAACAAACAAAGACATGATCAGATGCAGTTTGATAAGGTGGAGCTGGGTTGCATGCAGAAACTGCAGAGGTAGCCAGGCAGCCGAGTCTGGTACTGTCTCCTTGGAGGAGAATGATGATGTGCTGGCAACCTTGTGCTAACAAGACGAAAGCTGATGTGTGCATGTCCTTCAGTTACCCAGGAGTTCAGAGGAGGCTGCAGAGCCAGAGGCCTGGGTCAACGCCTTTCTGGGGAGGACATTCTGGGACTTCCTGCGAGAGAAGTACTGGGCCGACGTTGTCTCCAAAAAGATCCAAATGAAGCTCAGTAAAATCAGAGTGAGTCGTGCCACAAGTCTGCATAAATTACCCTAACAAGCAGAAGCAATTCATATGAAAACTCTACAAGCAATTGTGTGACTATAAATTGCGTTAATGTCTGGTTTCACCTCTTAATCTCCTAATTTGACCCCTGTATGCTTCAGCTGCCATATGTAATGAATGAGCTGACTTTGACGGAGCTGGATATGGGATTCTCAGTTCCTAAGATCCTCCGTGCCTCCAAACCCTCAGTGGACCACCAAGGTACGGGATATATTATTTTCGTGACTTCACTAAGTAGTTCGGACATGTGAGGAAGAAGAAACCGGACATGTGGGTTTTAAATTATTTATCTACTGTACACCTGAAAAGTGTGGCTTGCCTTTGTATTCTGCACACTAGAGATGATGTGTTATAGAACAACTTTTTTCTGCAATTTCCTGCAATTCTTTTTGTTGATGTTTCTACCTAACAGCTTAAGTCGTTCTTGCTTCTCTATAGGTTTTAGGTCTGGACTTTGACTGGGCCACTGTAACACAGGAATGTGCTTTGATCTAAACCATGCAATAGTTATTCCATGGTAGTTGTGACTTATTTAATTTTCAATATTCCCCTGTATTTGTGTCCATCCATCTTTACCAACCAACTCTGACCAACTTCCTGTCCCCGGTGGGGGAGTTTAGGAGGTGTTGTAACATGCCTCATCATGATACTACCACCACCATGTTTCAGCATATTGAGGGTGTGTTAAAGGTGTACTACAATGGTAGTTTGCCCCCACACATGGAACATCTTTTCATAGAACATCTTTCACACGTTTGCTGTGCACCGACATCATCACCATGACGTAATAAAACTACAAATGGCACTTCCTACATCTTTCAACAACTGTTTACTTCTTGTCTCTCTTATAAAAGCCAGGTTTTGTGTGACCAGTAGTTATCCCGTCAACAGATCTCATTACCTGTGCTGTAGCGCTCTGTATTTTCTGTAGAATAATCATGGGCCTCTTGGCTGCTTCTGTGATTAATGCTCTCTTTGCCTTGTCCATTAGTGTAGGTGGACAGCTATGGCTTGATAACTCTTTTCTTTTTCAGGAGCAGTCTTTTGTGAGATGTTTTGTGCTTGTGATATCATTGTATTACTTAGCCCTGCTTTAAACTTCTCCACAATTTTCCTACTGCCCTGTCTGCCGAGTCCCTTGGTCCTCAAGATGTTTGTTCACTGCTGTTCTACAAAAAAAAAAAAAAAAAAAAACTTCAGAGGCCTTCCAAGACGATCTGAATTTATGCTAATGTAAAATTACACTTGCGTCATCCTTCATTAACTAGTCTTAAACTGGCTGCATCAGGTCAGATGTAAGGATAAGAGAGTAAATGGGCTAGAATACATATTAGAAGTGTATTTGTGCACTCATATGTGTTGATTCTGCCTCACAAAATACAAATTGGAAACATTAAAATTTGTGATTGTAATGTGACAAAATGCAGAAAAGTTTAAGATTGAACATTTTATAATGCAATGTAGATATGTTGTTTTTCTTGACATTTAGGCTTTTTTTTTTTACACTTTTCATCTTAGTGGATTAAGACATCCTGCCTCCACTGCAGTCCTGCCTGTTTATGCACTGTGCAATATAAAGCCACAGTAATTAAACTTCACATCTTGGATCCCTTGATCCTTCACTGAAATGCTGACTCCTCCTTGCCACCCTTAGTCACAGTTATGAGCAAGAAATTGAGTTTTTAAGTACCAGGGCACACAGGATTGTTAGCAAATGTTAAAAATATTCTGGTTTTATTGAGCTCAGTTAAGAGAAGCAACATAAATGCTGACAGTGTAATCTGAATGACTTGCTTTCATCTAAACCTTATTTCTGCACTATCTGCAAGGCTGAGAAAACAAGCAAACAAAAAAAAAAACAGGAAGATTAGCTAAATAAAAATTTTTTACTTGCTGCAGAAATGAGGACTCATTGAGCAAGCAGCAGGTATTCAAATGTGCATTATTATCCCCCCACCTAACGATAAGCATAATGCCACAGAGCTGGCCTTTGTACTTTTTTTCTTAGGAATGGTCATTCTTCCCTTTATCTATTAAAGGCCTTTCAGAAATTACATATCAGAATCTCTCTTATTTTAATGAGTGACAACTGTAAAGCTTTCTGCATCTAGCAAACGCTTGATAGTTTTCTGTATTTTCCTTCACTCTCCTGCCAGGTCTTTGGTTTGATCTGGAAGTCTCCTATACAGGCTCCTTCCTCATGACACTAGAAACCAAGCTGAACCTGGTCCGCCTGGGGAAAGAAGGCGAAGGACTCGGGGATCATGGCAAAGAATGGTGAGAGTTTTGCTTACAATTTTAACTTTTAACTTTGAGACCCTGGCACATTCCAACCACTGATTTCAATGTGTTTTTTAAGAGAAGCATAATGCGAGATGCAACACATTTGTTTACGTTTACTCAATTTATGCAAAAAAAGGTCTGGAAACTTTTGCATTTACTTGCATTTGTCCTCCTTTAATAAAATTTTTTTGCAATCAATTGCATTCAGAAGACAGCCAAATGATTGAGACCCAGAGCTAATGTGTAATAAAGCTATTGCACATGAGCAACTATTATATGTACACTCTACAAATGTTGTCTTTATGGAAAAGTGACAAAAAGAAAGTTACTGTTGAAACCGCTATAGGAAGTCCAAGCCCTAAACAAACTGGATGCTAACTCAGCAGATCTGCACATAGGACCATATTAGCTATTATGTGTTTTTCACCGTTCCTACCTCTTTGGTGTTGACTCTTCATCCTCCTCCTCCTCCTCCTCCTCTCTCTACACTAATCCCCTCTTTCGGACGCCTACACTCATGGATTTGTCCAATGAATGGTGAGTTTGGGAATGGATGCCTTCAACTGCCTGTCAACAAAACAATATATTATTTTTGGTTTTTTGCACTGGACATTTTGGATTTTTACTTTGGATCAGTGGAGTTTTACCGCTAGGGATTTATTTTAGTTGCAGTTCATTAAACAGAAGTGGGTCATGCCCAAAGCTGTTTTGTGTGAAGCTATCATGGTCTGACCTTCAAACAGTCATTGTATGTTTGTGTTCCCGCGACAGGTCCAGGCCACGGACGTACTGTCTGGCCGACAGCGATGAGGAGTCATCCAGTGCTGGCTCATCAGATGAGGAGGATCCCCCTGAACTGCTCAGTGACAAACCCAATCTGCCTGCATCAGAGGGGTGAGCAAGTGTCTCTTTACGGGAGACATGGACACAAATCTGAATTAAAAACTGCTCAGATTTAAGTCAACAGTGATGTTTTAAAGCATTCCAGGTCCACTCACCCACTCATTCCCACAGGTTTGAAGGCTTGCTGCTGATTTAATGCATCACCTACTCCCCTCCCCATCACCATCGCGGGTGCTGAGTAGCAGGAGATGCTGTTATGAATAAATGATGAACCTGACTCACTCCTTTTCTAAATCTCCCCGCCCCCCCCCACCCCCCCTCCTTCGTCTTCTCTCTATCTATCTATCCTCTGCCCTTGTAGCTACGTAGGAGGCCACAGACCCAGCAAGATCATGCGCTTTGTGGACAAGATAGCCAAGTCCAAGTACTTCCAAAAGGCAACCGAGACCGAGTTTATCAAGAAGAAGATGGAGGAGGTGTCCAACACACCCCTCTTGCTCACTGTGGAGGTGCAAGAGTGCAGGGGGACGCTTGCTGTCAACATCCCACCTCCCCCTACGGACAGGATATGGTATGTTCAGGAGCATACCAAAAAAGGGACTATTGCGGGCTGGGATTGAGTGGGAGTCCTGGTTTAAGAGCATAACGGTGCGCCCTCTGCTGGACACCTGTAGGCATGCATACGTTCACAAAATATGAATGTTACTGTAACAACAACAGCATTGTTTTTGATCCAATTCAGTATTATGCACCACACTGTTAGTCACACAATCCCAATAAAATACATTAAGTATTTTATTGGGATTATATCAATGGATATGAAAAGTCAGTCAAAGATCTTGTAACCTAAATATTTTTAACAACTTGTGGCAAGAAAAATATGTCCTCTTGATCTTCAGGTATGGTTTTCGGAGTCCTCCCCATCTGGAGCTGAAAGCGCGACCCAAACTGGGCGAGAGAGAAGTCACTCTGGTTCATGTGACGGAGTGGATCGAGAAGAAGTTGGATCAGGAGTTCCAGGTAATCTAAACTCAAATTTCCAAGCTCAAGAGGCCAGTTGTTTAGTTCACAACGGTAAAAAGAACAGCTCCTGGGATGTTTATAAGGATTTAGATGAGGATTTCTTGCTTTCTAGAAGCATTTAAAAGCTGTCTCTGTCTGTCTTGACTCTTTACCAATAATCGCAGCCAGATTAATGATATGCCTGGTATGTGATTGCAAACTGCTAAGGGTCTCTGTTATGTTCACCACATGTTTACATTTACCTCTGCCTGACCCTTCTAGGGCTGTTATTATGTACAATCCCCTTCAATCAGGGCACCATAAAAATATAGCACTGTGCTGCACATGGTTGTCTGTTGTGGATGAGCATCTGTTTATATATGTATATATATAAACAAAAAATCTCTTAACTTTAATGCTCATTATGTTTTAGAGACAAAACGGGATTTGAAAATTCACTTTTCTTTTTGTTGGCTAACCATCTTTCGTCTCCTGCAGAAAATATTTGTGATGCCAAACATGGATGACATATGGCTACCCATAATGCACTCTGCCATGGATATGCGCTCAAATGCCAACTTGACTGTGACAAACGATGCCTTGAAGGATCCAGGGCCGGAAGAGTCTGAGCTCTCTGATGTGTGAGAGGTGTTCAAATGTAGGGCTGCAGGCATTTTATGACACAATGATACAGGATGCCCTAAACGTCTGTTGGAAACTAAAGGTGCAGCTGCAGCCCTGGCCAGCTTTACGGTTATTTTCTTTGTTTTTCAATGCTACTGTTTCAATAGATGGTTAACAGTAAAAAAAAAAAAAAAAAAATCATCCAAAAAAACTGAAAAGCAGGATGATGAGTTCTCTTATTTTTAAATGAAAGCAGGAGAATAGAAGGAGAATGTGACGCTGTTACCATCTGACTACACTTCTTCAGTATCCGTTCAGTTTGATGAAGCGGGGTTCATGGGTCAAGCTAAAATACAGCAACCTCCACAATTACTGGAATGTCAAGTAAACTGAGCAAAAACCTCACAATAATGCCATTTATCTATTACCACAGTTACATAATCCCATGCTGAAAACCTCCAGAAAAATCCAACCCTTAAGTTGAACGCATTTATTCGACAAGGCAAAAAAAACAAAAAATATCTCTCAAAAAAATTGGTGCTACAATTTTTGACACTTCCTTTAAAAAAGTAACTGACATTCTTTTCTTCACTTTACATTTTACTTTGAAAGGTTGATCACCATTTAGAAACATTTGGTAAGTGTGACGAGACTAATGGTTTCTCTGTAACCAGATATGACACAAAAGAATATATGTTTGAAGTGCTTTTCAAAATGGGAAAGACAAGAAAGCATCTCATTAAAGTATGTGACAGGAATGTGTTTATCTGTATAACTAAAGACATGCCAACTCTGCTTAATTTGTCAATATCTACAATGAGAGCAACATTAAAATTTTTGAGACAACAGTAAGTGTGACAGATGAGAATGGATGATGATGATCTTCCATTTCTTGCCACAGCACAGTGAGTAGGATTGGAAGGGAGGGAAAGAAAATGTCTTATCATGTACCAACCCCCTTCAACCAGGGCAACAAATGATGACATTTTGGGGTTACCAAGACTTTGTACCAACCGTAGACCCCACACAGATGTCAACCAGTTGTTTCAAAGGACTGCAGAGCAGAAGTTTTTTCTGTCCTGTCATAGTATACATAATTATGTGGAGTTATGTGCTTGGTCTAATAAGATTTTTTATTTATATTTTGCAAACACTTCATGAGGGTTTGACATGACACAAAAAATGAATATCTTAAAATGCATTTCATGCCCACTCTCATGCAAGAGGGTGGATATGTGACACTGTGGGTCTGTTTCCTTTCTACAGCCCATTGAAGCTGGAAATGCTAAGATATTTTCTATAGAAATCTGGAGTGCCCTGCCAGAAAACTAAAAATGGACTGTAAAGTTATAGGTGAAGATCAAGGTTGTGCAAATTGTTAATGGAAAAAAAGTAAAGAAGTGTTGCTCCCGCCTCCCAAGCAACGTACCCAAATTAAATGTTTTGTTTTTTTTCCAGAGAGATGTTGTGCTACTGCAATAAAAGGTGCCATTCTTTTTACATCCTTACCAGTAAATGTAGAGGATACTGTAACACAACAAAAAGCCATCCTGAGTCAGCAAGAGGAACCATATAACCTGTGATGTGTAGCTGTACCTAACATGATTGTTGGACAGTGTTAACTTTTTCTGTGAAGTTGCTAAATGATGAGTGTCTTATTGTTACCGTTATGAGGATTAGCTAGAACTGTGGCCACTGATGAAGACCAAGGGTAAAATATATTTTTTAAAAATCCCCGTTTTAGGAGTTTGCTTAGACCCAGTCATGCATCAAGCATACAGTGGATTGCAAAGGTGTAAGATTTTGCAATACAAAAAAATACTCCACCTTTTATGCTACGTTTATCCTGTACAATTTGGCTGAAAATCATTCAAATCTTTTGGGAGGTACTGGTTGTGTCCTCTATATGAACTTAAAAAATCTCCACACACCTTTGTAGGTGAACGTGTTGTGATCTGGTGAAACCTGAATTTTGAATTTAGGGCCTTGATTTCAAGGTGTTTGTTGGCAAAAACAACAAGCCATATAAACAAATTAACTACACAGTGATGCCAGTAATATGCTCTGGAGCTACTTTTTCTTCAGATAAAATTGCATTAGTTGTCTGGTTGGTTTCCCATACCAATAAATCAAAAGTTGCATAAAAAAGTACTAGTTTCAGGGTCTGCACACTTTTGCAACCAAGTTATTGCACTTTTCTTTAAATGGCTAATTTTCCCCAGAGTCATTAGTTTGTTTCAGTGAAACTGCACATAACATCACGCTGAAGGTGGAAAAAGTTTGGAGATGATTCTTTTTTTGTTTTTAGATCACAAATCCCAACAGGGGCATGAACATTCTTAGATCCACCGCACTTTTCATACCATTCTTTTATCAGTAAACCACATTGCTGCCTGGTGCATTTATGCAAATTAATCCAGGGTTTATAAATGGTTCCATAGTAGACAGGTGGTCCATTAAAATCCATCATGGCAACCATGCTGCCATACAGCATGTGTGCTTTGTACTATGGAACAGACATTCGAGCTAAAATGGGCTGGTTGTAGGAAATGAGGCAAACAAAATGGCTCAACCTCTGCTGGTATCTTGAATGTATAAATAAAAGGAACTCCTCAGCTCTCCCAGGAAACACTTTCACTGAAAATGTGTTTCTGAGCAACATGTTTAAAGCTACATCCAGAGTTGACTAAAAGTAATAATTTTCTATTTGTATTGCCAAAGGGAATATAGAAGGTGTGAAATAAAGCAATCTGTTAGAAACTTTCTGCTTTCGTTGAGGTGACGCACATCCAGTGTTTCAACAACTGCAATTGAAAATGAGGATGAATCACAGAGCGAGACTCTTTCTGTACAACAGGATACGGAAACCTCAAGCAGCACCACAGAGCTGGAAGTTTTAGGTGTAATAAATCTAGTTTTATTGAAATAAACAGCATTCTGGATATCAGCCATATTATTTAGTGTCGTCTGCGGTCATACAGCTAAAGAATGCCGTTTCGTTTTCATTTATTTGGTGTTCTGTTGTCTTTAAAGAGCAGCAACACCAATAATCTAGAAACCCCTGGAACTTTTCCTGTCTGCTTCAGAGGTGACTTTATGTATTTTTATGTTCAAATAGGTGTGTGTTGGCTAGTATATGAGGCAGAAAGTGCCTTTGAGATAATCAAACATTCCTTCATAGTGAGCCACCTCATTTCTCTCATCAGTTAATGAACTGTTATTGTGCCATTTTTGTTAAGACATGCCTGTTGTTTTTCACCTTTCTTTGCGGTTCATTTGCACATTGACCAAGATATCAGGCTATTTTGTTCTGTGATATTGCAGAAATGTTACTGTTCTGTTTATTGTGGATCAATAAAAACAATTTGGAAAAAAAAGGTTTTGATTTTGGGGAATAAATGAAATACGATTCAAGATGTACACCCATGTTTGGGGAGCAAGGCATCCAAACACATGTGACATCTTGCGATTCAGCAAAATATCAAATGTGTGGTTTGGTTTATTGAGATATACTGGTTCAGCAGCCTTACATTGTCAACACGAAACAATTACATTTTGTGTCACATGTTTCTAAAAGTATTTTAATGACTTTTTCTTCCAAATAAAAATAATTTTGCTATCAGACATAATTTTATAAATTTCACAAATTAATAGTTATAAAAAAATACTAAAATGTTTGTGTAATATTACATGATGTTATTCTGGGAATATTAGTCAGATATCTTGCACCATTATACCAGAAGCTTCTTAATAACTGGAACTGTACTGTCTCACAACACCATAACTTTGGCATGTTTATGGTTGCCAATCAAATTTAGACATGGACCGTCTCCAATTCTAAAAACTGATAAAGATTGGACCTAATTTTTATCAGCAAATTTTTATTTAAGCTTAATTGGTATAGGAGAAAAATTACAGATCTAAAACTCACTGTCTGGGTAAGAAATGATTTATTTCTGCCAGTGAGCTTCATTTACTGGTGTTGATTGCAGTGGCAATTAAAGGTTCTTAATTGTAAATGCCATTTAATAAGTCACTTTATTTTATTCACATAATTACTTTATTTTTTTTTATGTAGTAAGTTTCTTACTCTGGGACCTGAGTCCAAATGTTGTACCACAAAACAAGATTCACGACTATCGAATCAAACAGAATTTTCTCCATTTGTAAAGATTATGCAACGTTTACATTTGTGTCTTGCTTTAAAAGAGCATCTTGGTAGAAAATGCCAAGAAACCCCAGTTATGACAAGATTTAATGTAGCACTTATTTTCACTACTGGGAGTGGCTAAGGAAGGGGCCATTCCAGTTAAAAAAGTGCAAAAATTGGTTTAAAGAAATCAAATTCAGACAAAGGTAAATGGGAATGTTTTTCTTTATTATGAACATGCATAGTTAAGTTATGTACAACACTGGAAACTTGCTTCAGTTCATAGTCACCTTCCATTTGATGAGCCCCAACCTGTAAGAAAAATAAAAGTCAACACTGAAGTCACCTCTGGCAATTATGATTCATGCGTTATAAACTTACCATGTTATTCTGGTAATCTGCGGTTCAGCTCCTGAAATAATACACATATTCTTCAGTGTTTTTAGTTATCGGGATGGAATACAACCTTTTCTTAGTAGAACCATGTCAGATGTTAAAGATTGACTTCATTATTATATCAGAAGTCTAACACGCAAAGTATCATCACTCGTGATATGAACTGTAATTTTCCCCGTTTTGTGAAAACACCTAAAAAGCGTGCAGATAAATCTTACCTTCGTGTTTCACGGCCTGCCCACGCTGCTGCCACGTGAGCTGCTCGTGCTCAAAGTGCTACATGCACAAAGTGCCTACATGTAATTTGTTCAAGCTTGAATTCACGTTACATCAGTTTTAATACCCAAAATGAATGCAAGTAGCTGAAGAGACATATTTAAGTTCAGTTATTACAAAATTTAGGGTTCAGCTAAAAGAGTCCAAGACAATCACAGCGCGTGCTCTTGCGGAATAAAATGGCTCCGGATGTAAATGCTGATTTTTATAGCACATCCGGTGTGTGGAGGCGTGTTTTCATTGGCTGAGAGGCCTGTAGCGTTCCCCCTCCTCCACTCCTGTGGATATGAATCCAAAAGTCCAACCTCCGCAGTGGTAATTTCAGGAAGAAGCATCTCTACCAACGCTGTAGCAAACATTTCGACCCATCTGTCTGTGGAAGTCAGAAAATAATTTTCTATGTAGCGACCAGCCGCCCCGGACCACCCAGTCAGTCTGTCCCGGTTTGAGACCCAATGCTAACATGGACTGGCCAGTGCGAAAACGGGCTCTACTGTGCTGCATTTTAGCCTTGTTTTTCTACGCTGGTCCCCAAAAGGTAAGAAAGCTAGCTGGATAAACTAACTTAGACGGGACGAGGTTATTATTGTCGACTAAACAACAAGTATAATTTATAGTGGGATTATTATTTTGTACTTTGGGACGTTTTAATAAAAATGTTTGTACTTCAATGAAGCTAAAATTCAGTCCATATGCTGCGTGTTGACAGCGGTTAGCTAAATACGAACGTTAGCTAGCTTGCTAAACTATTCATTTGACAAGTTATGGGGTCTAAAATCAACTCATCTGACGCATTTAAACATCTGTCGAGTTTCAGGAAATTACGGGAAACCATTTGTCCTTATATCTGTACAATTTCACATCTGTAACACATCACTTTTTTTTTTACCACTCACTAATACTGCATTGTACTTCATTTAGTTAAGTCTGCGTGATATTAGAAACATATGCAGTTGTGTCTCGTCACGATCTCAATTTTTCCATCCATCATCACCCAACCTACCCTTTAATACATCATAGTGTTTCTTTTTAGTGATCAACAAGAAACTCAGTTCAGCTTAGATAGTAAAATCTTGAAACTTGACAGCCCAACACCATGTGATATAGTAAAATTACACAGTCATGGTTAGAACTTTTGATAGGTTCCTTATTGATAACAGATGCAAGGTTTTGTTTAAAGATTTTTGACTGTAGTTTCAATATTACTGGACACAATAACCCTCAACTGACACAAACAGTGGATATCAAAAGTTTATCCCCTACTTTTAAATCCAGTAAAGCCCATTTGCTGATTAGGACTAAGAAAATTTTAGGTAATTTTGAGTCTTATTACAACAATAATTATGTACTGATGTCAGTATGATGTTTCAAAGGCTTGCTTATCTCAAAAATGGATTCAACAACTTGATGCATGTGCACAAGTCACAGTTGTACTCCTGAAGGATGTTTTGGTGTTTGTGAGGGATGCTCGTTGCAAAAGAAGCACATGGTGACTTCATGGGGAAACTTTAATATGGTGCTATTACACCAGAAAGTTAAAATTTTCAAGTAAATTTTGCTGTCTATATTAAGGTATAGTTAAAGGATCCGAAGTCCCTAATTAAAGTCAATTAAAAATTGATGCCAGCCATAAAAAACCCAAACAGTGCAGCTCTTAAAAGTATAATCATGCAGTTTTAAAATCCCCTTCTCCCCCTAATTAAATAATTTTCAATTATATTAGGGCATTGCACTAACCCTAATCCATTGTTTTTTTCCAGGCATTTAAGCTTTTTTAAATGTACATAACATGTGCCCTATTTTGAGTGTTCAATAAATAATGACTAAGTGGAATCTGTGGTATGTAGTTGTGTACACTTGAGGTTGGATTTAAATCATTTACAACCCTGTAAAGGCCTGGTCATTCATACTTTGAAACCTTGATGGTATGTATACCTTCTGTTTACGAGGACTTAATCCATAACAACAGACAATGGGCCTGTACCCATTTACAAAAAAAACATCTATAAGTTCATGCAAATCGAAGTAATATCATATTGGGTATACGCTCTGTGAAGTACATTAACTCCTTGGTTTTTGATGGTTGGTATAAAGCATCGATAATCTGCTGTCTTGGCTTTAATCTTGATCAAAAAGTAATTAACATGTTCAAAACGAGCCAAAACCTTAAAAGCCCCGAGGCAGGGACCCTTCACTGCTACATGAGTAAACCAGCTCAGCTAAGAAGCAGATTAAAGTGGCTTTATAATCCCTTGTCATGTCTCGGGTTCTTCTCTTAGCCTATTAGCGTATGCAGGTGTAGTGTGGGTGACAAATGATAGTCCAACTATATATTCTGAGAGAAACTTCATGGGATTTCTAGAGAAGAAAAGCTCTTTTTGACAGTATTTTCTGCCACAGTTGACACATTTCCTCCTTTAAAAGCATGACACATCAGCGACTGATTGTTATTAATAACTTTAAGGTCCTCCTTTGTGCTTTATACTTACATAAACTTAATTTAATGGTTGACAGGCATCATAAACGTAATAAGTTTATAATTGCTTGAAACTACACAGAGGTCAATTTTACACACTTTCTGTTCAGTGCAAACAGATTTTGAATTGCTAAATCTAAAGAAAAAGTAGATATAATGGAAGTGGCTGTGCTTTATCTCAGTCTGCCAGCACGTGGTATTGCTTTCTTTGTAGCAAAACCCCAAAGGTTCTCTGTAAAGATGTGACTTGTCATTTTAGAAATATTATAGCATCTTAATTCCTTTTAATTGTTGCTGTTAAGATGTTTAGGAATAAATATCTGATACTGCTCTTAAGCATTGGTTATGGTGTTCTTTACAGAAAAAGGATGTATGATTTGATATATTTGTTGATTAGTTGAAGCTGTTGCCAGTACGCACTTCCCATGACACATACACAGATGTGTGAAATTACTATCTTTTTTTTTTTTTCTTGGTTCCTGTGTTGGTTTGTTCTGCACTCGGGCAAGCTGCAGAAATTGCTGATGGCAGCAGACAAGGTGTTTGCTTCGACAAGAAATTCACTTTTTACCCTGATGGTTTTTGTTGTTGCCGTTTCATACTTCGACCACAAGGCTTTGTTTTTTTTTTTTTTTCATGCTCTTCTAAAATGTTTGTTGAAACTTGAAGGGAAAGCCAACAGTTCTGAGCGGCTCTGTGTTTGGCTTGGTTTGCCAAGCAGCAGGCTGCGAGGCGCGGTGACCCTCCGCTGACCGCTGCCGGTGATAACACAAGCATTGAAGTCCCTTTTGAAGCTGACCTCACTTTAAAAAAAAAAAAAGGTTGAAAATTTAGATTCAGGAACAAGAGTGAAGAGTTTTTTTGGTACCCAGTTCTGCAGTATTATGCAACCCTTATTTTGCAATGCTATTTCTGTGTAACACACAGAATGAGGAAATGGAAGGGTGTGCATTATTCTAACCGTTGCTTTAATCGAGCCTTTGTAAATCACATCCATTCTGAGCAGAGAAACTGTGAAGCAGATGTCCCTGAAGCGCAACACTTCAACATATGCATCAGCTGCTGAATGTTGGTGTCCATGCAAACCTAGAGAGCCAGCAGATGTTTGGGAACTCATTTGTTTGTGAAACCAAGAGAGCTGCTGGGGGTTATGAGGGGGGCGAGAACAGATTAGTTATGACTCTTCCCAGCACGCTTGTACGGTGCCTTGTGAGGTTGAGGCCCAGTGGGAACAGTTGCAGGTGCATATTATTGACACGCATGCTCATAAAGGATGGATGAGACCACAGGGAGAGAACTTGGGGCCAGTGTCGAACGATGTCTTTTCTCTCTGCAGATGTTCTGAAACCTTCATTTGTTTTTTGTTTTTTTGTCTTAGTTTCTGTTCTTTTTGGTGCTAGAAGTTTCAGAACAGTGTGATGAATAACCAGAGTACACAGGTTATTGTGAAACGGCTTTTATAGGGTGTCTGCCACTGGTCAGTCACTGACGCTGTTTACAGAGGAATGGTAGGCCATGTCACCAAAGGTGGAGACAAACTGCAGTAGTAGTTCCACGTGTTCTTGATCGCACGTGCATTAAAGGCTGATGGATGGAAATCCTGCTGGTTCTGTTATTTTAAAAAACATTTTTTATTTTTTCAATTTTTTTATATTTTCCAGAATTCTAAAAATACATCTTAAAATATCGAAAGGCTGATCTGATTGACTTTATTGAATATTAGTGGTTTGGTAAGCAGATTGTGTTTCTTAAACTCCTGACTTTAAAAAGATGCACTTACGAAACCACAACATTTCTCAGCATATTGTTCCTATGTCTTAATAAGATGCAGGAGAAAGCTGCACACTGCTAGTCAGCTGGCTGAAAGAAGACTCCTGCATTTCAACCTTGCTTGTAAGAATGCATTCACACCAGCCCAGTTTAGTCCACTTTAATCAAACTCTGGTTGTTTTCGATTGTGTGAATTCACACCTGTGCTCAGTTTCTTCTTCACAGGATTTTGTGTGGTTTCCTTCATTGGTTCTTGGTGCAGCGCCACAACAGGTGACGATGGGGGAACAGATTTTGGTTAGTTTGACGCAGTGCATTGTGAAAGTGAACTGAACTATCTGAAAATGTTACCAATGTTGCAATTTTGGTTCTCAATAGAGCCAACTCTGCAGGACTAACAGGTGTGTGGAGTAGAAACACCCTAAGAAAGACGAATTCAGCTGCTTGAAAATGTTTCCAGAATCACGGGCAGTCATTGTTTGAAAACTAAAAGAGAACCACGTCATTTTATTATATTAGTTTTAAAAACTAATGATGGCATAGCAAAATGCCTGTAGCTGACTGCAGGGCTACCTGAGCAGATAACCTGACTAATTAGCCAGATACCATCTGCCTGTTTGTAATTGTGCTTCTCTTCGAAGAAGTGAACAATCACAGTTGTGATAAGGACTGCTACTGAATAGACCGGGGGTGGCCAAGTCCAGTCCTCGAGAGCCACCATCCTGCAAGTTTTAGAAGTATCCTTACTCCAACAGACCGGGATCAGCTCTACAGAGGCCTGATAACGAGCCAGTCATTTGATTCAGGTGTGTTGAAGCAGGGATGCATCTGAAACTTGCAGGATGGTGGCTCTCGAGGACTGGACTTGGCCACCCCTGGAATAGACTGATGTTTTTAATCCAAGTTATCATTCAACAATCTCACATGCTTAGATTAGACCCCTTTCTGTGACTCTCAGTG